ATTTTGCTGTTATTTTGTCAGCAGTGCCAAAGTCTGACTAACAGATTGAGAATCCAGAGAACTTTTTATCAATTCTAAAACTTTACATTTAAAACTTTACTTTTAAAACGTTACATTTTAACCTCTCTGAAATGTTAAATTGTGCTGTACAATCAATGACACAATTACAATTGGGAGCGCCACCCATCTTTTAGTACATAAAATAATGCATCTTGTGGCTGAAGAGATTGCTTAGTGGGGAATACTTGATGCTCTAGCAGAGGACCCAGCTTCAGTTCCTAGCACCCACACGATGGCTAACAACCATCTGTAACTCTAGTTACAGGGGATCTAATGCCCTTTTCTGTCCTCTGTGGGCACCAGGCATGTACATGATAGACAAACTTACATGCAGGCAAACACTCATACACAAAAAATAAATCTTTAAAATAATGTTGCATCTTGCAAATAATGGCTTCCAAGATTAGAGGAAATATCTTTTCCAGTTCAGTGGTTCTCTCATATGAGTATTTCAGGAAATCTAGAGAAAACAATCTCAAAACAGGTGGTATAGAAGGTTTTGATATCAACTCTTGAGAATGTTCTCAATATCTAGCTGATGGTATACAATGTCCTGTGGTTCCTCCCTGGTCACCTTGGATTTCCTGTGTGTCTATTTCTGTTCTTCCTGCATATCAGCAAGTACCCGATTACTGACTCCCACCCACCCAATGTCAAGGGCTTTTCAGAGAAAGTGATTCTACTGAGGCTCCTCTCTGTGCACAAGTTTGTGTGTTTGGAGAAGATTGGAGGAGCATACTGCTTACGTATAACATCCACACAGAGGTGAGGCTATGAAGAAAGCCCACTTCCAGCCTGATAAACGGCAGAAGTCTCTTGGGTACTGACTCTAGGGGGTTAATGCTGACTTAAAATATCATAATAATCTTAGTAGTAAGAGATTTGAACTATCCTCCTACCCAATGACAGTGATGGCCAGAAAGCACAGAGTGGATTGTGGTTTGCTCCTTAGCTTCCTAGCATGGTTTACTCATCTTTCTTCTTCTGATTACAAAACAAGCTCTTGGTCACAGTGTGGAATCTGATGCCAGCCTGGCCCATCAGAGTCCTTCTAGGACCTTGAAAGATAGGTTCTCTTTCTCTTGGTGTTTTTGACTGAAGGCTACCTGTGACCAGCTGCCTCAACATGGAGAGATGTTAGTAGAGCAAAGATCAAAGACCGGCAGAGTAGGGACAAGGAAGAGCCACCCTGTCTACATCCTTCCATCCCATGAGATGCCACAGTTATTCTTCTTGGCTACATGAGCTGGTGCATTCCTTCCCTGATTAAGCAAGCTTAAACTGTGTCTTCGACTCAGTATACTATAAGGCATTTTAATTTTTTACTTTAAAACTATCCTCCAGCTTAACTGTTCTTTTTGAAAGTTATTTGCAGAAAGATAAGTTTGGGATTTGAGAGGGTGAACTTGCCACATTCTGTGTTGTTGACTAAGTAAGATTTGTGGATTCATTGAGAAATTGTGATTACTCTGAAGCCTGGCATGGATGCTTGGTTAAGGGGGAGCCTCATCTTGAGATGCACCAGGGGCATACACACACTGTTTTGGATTTATCTGAAGTTTTTATTAAGAACCAAGTCAGCCTTTCGATGACTTCTGTATTGTAGACACCCACAGAAGCCTGAGGCCTAAAGACTGAAGATGCTCCATGGCCAGGCACCTTGGCTTGGTGTCACTGATAAGAGCCTATCTTTCTGACAGCATTTGCCCAACTGGTTCCTCTACTTTTTCAGACATGTCCTAGAAAAGGAGCTGAGCCCAAGAAAGACATTCCTTAAATATTTGCTGTGGCAGGTAAGCAGGCATATAGTGACCTAAAAATTATATAGCATTGTTAAGCAGGGGTCTTAGCCTTATTTTATACTTCTAAAATAGTTGACTTGGTATAAAGGCAACTTCCATCTTCTCTAATTCTGACAGAGATATTAGAGAAAGGCTCAGAAAGGGCCTGTTGATAATTCTCGTCTCCTAAATTAGTCTGGTGGGAGACTGATGCAGGCAGCATCCCAATCACCAGGCCTACTAAGTCATTAAATACTGTTAGGTAAAAGTCATTTCAAAGGGGTGTCCTCCCAAAGTGCATATGTTGGAACTTTCATTTCTCAATGCAGTGTTAAGGGGGCCTAGTAGGAGCCATCTGGATCACAGGACCCAAATGTTAGGGTTCCAAATAGCAGCTCCCCCTCCCTCCCCAACAGGGACCTACAAACTCTGCTGAGAAGCAGCCTGCCTTTCCTCTGACCTCCAAAGATAAGATAAGTAGAGTTCCTCTTATCTTAAGCCACACCCTAAAGCCCCCATATGTAAAGTCCCAGCTCACAACCCGTGGACATCTTTCCTGGACATCTTTCCTTCCCTGACATCCTTCCCTTCCTTCCCTTCCCCCTTCCCCCTTCCCTTCCCTTCCCTTCCCTTCCATCTTTCCCTTCGTGGACATCTTTCCCTTCCCGAGGGAAAGGTGCCCTGTGCGAAATAAATCTGTGTCCCACTGAGAATTCCATCTGTGCATCGGTGCCTTCAACCATCCGCTCGTGCTCTCCATCAGCGCCGCTCGCTCCCGCCCATTCTCTACCTATTCACCAAACCCTCATGAATGTATGCAGGCCTTTCCTAAGTTTGCTCCAATGGGACTGTGTGATTACTGCCACCCCCACTTCCTCAGGAGCCCCCATAATGCTCTCTGACTTTCCTGCTTTCTGAATTGTGATCCAAAAGAAACTTTTTCCCCTCTATAAACCAATCAGTCTCAAATACTTTGTCACAGCAAGAGCAAAGTGCACTAAGACAGACACGTAGATCAGTATAGTTTTGAGAAAGGAATGCTTATTGTTAAACCACTGCCCCCAAGCCGACTTCATCACTCATCTGAGTATTCTACCATGGTATAATCATGGTATATAAAATCACTCTCAGAGAATAGTCCAAAAGTCACCAAAGACATTTTCTGGGCTGCTGAGATAGCTCAGTAAGTAAGGCACTTGCTGGCAAGCCTGATGACCTGAGCTCCATCCCTGGAACTCACAGAGTGGAAAGTGAAAACTTTGAAAGACTAGCAACCCTCCCCACAAATAAATGTGAAAAAATTAGATTAAAATAAAAAGGCCTTTTCTTAGCAGAGCAGACATTTTATTGTAAGATGTCAGATTCTTTGGGAACACCTGTTTCTTTATGTAATCGTTATTCCAAGGTCAACAAGGAGGCACCACCCACCTCCCTCATTGCCAATTTAATTGCAGAAAGGAAGCTCATATTCCTTCTTTGAGATCCTAGGAATCTTAATTTATGAAAACAAGCAACAGAGCCTTCCAGATTTTTTTAGAGGCAGGCAAGAAAGATGACTATGAGCCTCCTATCTGTGCTTTTCTGGACTTGTGTGACAGATTTGGAGTTGGATTTAGTGGGTTAAAATCCTGTCTTCATCTCTAGACAATTGTGTGACTTAGCTAAGTCCCATAATCTCTCTGAACCTGTTTCCTTATCTGTTACTGAGACAGTAAAAGCACGAAATTAGGAGTGCAGGTGGAGCTCAAAGCATTGGGTTGTCCGGAGGTAAACGTACGACTTTTATATTTACATTTGATCACGCCAGTGGCCTGGAGGTACAATTCCTACACGATTAACTAGCTACATTCCACCTCTTCCTTGGACTCGCCCTTTCTCGAGCCGGGCGAAAACCTTGTTGTGTCGGGTATTTTGAAAGTGCGATTCTATGCACTAACCAGTAAAAACAGGCTTAGTAGCTTCCTGGGGCGCCGTTTCGCTTCACATTTGAAAAGCAGCGTCCACGTCTGAGGGTCGAAACGCGGGCTGCGATCCGGCCGCGGGTGGTGGCCCGAGCGTCCCTGCAGGCCCCGCGGGTGCAGCTGTGCGTGCGTCGCGGAGGGTGGTGCCGGCAGGCACCCCGCCCTTGGCCGCCACCTCTGCCCGTCAGGTGCCGTGAGAAGCGCGGGAGGGGCGGCCGCGAGGAGCGCCCAGGGAGATGACTGGAGCCGACTTCCCAGAAGCGGCGCACGCAAGGCACAGCTCCGCACGCAAGGGGGAGGCGACACGGGAAACTTTTCAACCCGATAGTTTGCAGGCGCGCAGAGTCGCCGCCTCCCCCAGCTCACCGCCTGCCCCCGGGTGTTGCGCGCCAGGACTCCCGGGAGCATCCTGCCTCCGGGACTGGCCTCCAAGCCCCAACTCGCCTCCCGCCCTCCGCCCACTGCCTCCCTGCGACCCCGGCCGTCTCGCGCTCTCCAGCGGGTGGCGCAGTCCCCAGTCATTTTCTAAGCGGGAAATCTCTGGGCCTGCTGCGCCCCGCAAGTGCTGGCTTTTGTGTGCCCAAGGATGGTCCACACCTAGGGCAGCAGAGATGCTGCTTTCCGGTTTCCAGATCTCGAAATCTTTGCACATCAAAGGGCCACAGCTGGGGGTGCGGTGGGAGTGGGGCAAGAGGCTTGCAAATGCTCAAGATAAAAATACACAAATAAATACATGGGAAACCCTAACAACTCAAGCTACCTTTGTTCCTAAACTGACAGGTTTCCCCTCCTGGCTCGCCCCAAGTTATCAGGCACAGGTTTTTCCTGGGTCACCAAGCCTCAGTCAGCTAGAGAAGAGGGGCGTGGAACACGCTCCCAGGACGGGGAAGTTCTGACCCCAGCCAGGTCCTGGGGAAAGCGGGGGTGGGGGTGGGTGGGAGGTGGCTGTTGACAAGTCGTTATCGAACAACGAAAACTTTACACCGCGGCTCCCAGCAAAGACGCCAGCTACTCTCGCTGGAGTCAGAGCGCGCGATGCAGATGCCCTACTGGACCACCCACACCATTACCCGGAGTGCTGAGTAGGAGTCCGAGCGACGTGGACCTTCGTGGTGTGCCCCGCCCACCACATGCCCCGCCCCGCCAGGTCCCTCTTCCTCTAGTCTCTACCCACTATATAAAACCCGACGAAGCGGGATGGCGCGTGCTGTCTCTTGGGTGTGTTGCAGACAGGTCTACGACGCCAGCTGTGCCAGACGCGAGCTGGGAATTGACTCCACTTTATCAATCCCACAGCCCCAGCTGCAGACAAAGCTCGAACTTTGCCGGAGCCGCAGGTGCAGCGGCAAAGTCGAGACACTACTCTGTCCCCATCCCCGTCTAAGTCTGGGTTCTGACGACGGCGGGAGACCCCAGAATGGATGCTAAAGCAGCTGCGGGCATCAGGTGCTAAGGGCTGGCCTCGGGGTTCCTGGAGACTCTCGGGTTGACGTCCTGCAAAGGCTCCGGAGATTCTCAGAGTCAACTACCCGGCGCCGCTGGAAAGCACTCCTTGCCACAGGTCAGTCTGTCCGCGGAGCCACCTTCCCGCGGCCTTTTCAGATGCTTTCTTGCAGGTCAGGGGTGGGGTGGTAGGCACTTTGAAGGGCACCAAACGCCAATGCCTCTATGCCGGCGATGTTGCCCTGGACTCCCCGGAACCGTTAGGCAGCTGGGGGTGCATAGGCTGGCACTTCTCTGCTGGAAGACTGGGTTGGGCATGGGGCACGTCTTCACCACCTTGTCCAGAGAGCCGGCCTTGACCGACGTATGCCATCTCTCCACCCAACCGGGCACCCGAGCCCCATGTTAGGGCTGGGGCATGTAGACCCGCTCTTTTCTCTACACACCTGTGTCACGTTTTGCTTTTGTGTCCGCAGCATGGCCACCAGCCTTGGTGTGGACCACCCGCAGCAGCTGAGCCCGCTGTCCACCCAGCAGACCACTCTTCTGCTGCTCCTCTCGGTGCTGGCCGCCGTGCACTTGGGCCAGTGGTTGCTGCGACATCGCCGGCGACAGCCCTGGTCCTCGCCCCCGGGCCCCTTCCCGTGGCCGCTGATCGGGAACGCGGCGGCTGTGGGGCAGGCGTCGCACCTGTCCTTCGCGCGCTGGGCGAAGCGCTACGGCGACATCTTCCAGATCCGTCTGGGCAGCTGTCCCGTGGTGGTGCTGAATGGCCAGAGTGCCATCCACGAGGCCCTGGTGCAGCAGGGGGCGGTCTTCGCAGACCGGCCGCCCTTCGCGTCTTTCCGCGTGGTGTCCGGCGGCGGCAGTCTTGCCTTCGGGCGATACTCGGAGCCCTGGAAGGAGCAGAGGCGTGCTGCCTCTAGCACGATGCGTGCCTTCTCCACGCGCCACCCACGCAGCCGCCGCCTCCTCGAAGGCCACGTGCTAGGCGAGGCGCGCGAGTTGGTGGCGGTGCTGGTACGAGGCAGCGCGGGCGCGGCCTTTCTCGACCCCACGCAGCCGGTCACCCTGGCGGTGGCCAATGTCATGAGTGCGGTGTGCTTCGGCTGTCGCTACAACCACGGTGACGCCGAGTTCCTGGAGCTGCTCAGCCACAACGAAGAGTTCGGGCGCACGGTGGGCGCAGGCAGCCTGGTGGACGTGCTACCCTGGCTGCAGCTCTTCCCCAATCGGGTGCGCACCACCTTCCGCCAATTCGAACAAGTCAACCGCAACTTCAGCAACTTCGTCCTGGACAAGTTCTTGAGGCACCGCGAAAGCCTGGTACCCGGGGCTGCTCCCCGAGACATGATGGACGCCTTCATCCTCTCCTCGGAAAAGAAGGCAGCCGGGGGCTCAGGCGACGGTCGCGCAGGGCTGGAGTTGGAGAAGGTGCCAGGCACTATTACTGACATCTTCGGCGCCAGCCAGGACACCCTCTCTGCCGCGCTGCTGTGGCTGCTCATCCTCTTTACCAGGTAAAGTCTCCAGCAGGCGTAGGTTGGTCTTTGCTTTCCGCTTCTGTAAAAGGAGTGTGGCTAGGTCATGAGCGGGGCGCAGGGTTTGAGGTTTCGCTACAGGTACCCTGTCCCTCAAAACCGTAACTATGTCTGAAAAGCGAAGGCCAGGATCCAACCACACAGCAAAACGCACTCACTCCATCTAGCGCTGACAGGATTTCTCTGATGCTGTCTTTGTCCGTCCTCCCCTTCTATTGTGAATGGGGACAAATTTATAAGGACCCCTCCCCTGCAAAAACAATTTTTTTTTTGTTACCGTGCTAGCAGATTACACTTGATATATCTCTTCCTGGCACAAAAGAAGCAGAAGTGGACCGGTACCAGAAGAAAAGGAGGTGCAATAAATATGTTAAATAACACATACTGGAACCTGTTGGAGAATATCCAGTCCGGCCTTAACAATAAACTGCGGGTCAGGCCTTTGTTATTTAGGCAAAGGAAGCCACAGTGCCCGTCCCAGGCCCATAGAGGGTAAGCTCTCTCCGAGGAGAGAAACAGGGTAAAAGGAGAAGCCAAGACTTTCTAGCATCTAAAAAGGGATCTAGGCAATCCTAGAGGTGCGTGGTGGGCCTCTCTGATCTCTGTGCCCAGCCTGACCAGCGCGCTGACCTCTACCTCACTCTGACCCGCGCAGATTAAACAGGCTCCCGGTTTCAAGCGGTCTAAGCAAATAAATTCTCCATGGGAATTTACCTTCGAAGATTAGCTATTGTTTCTCTCAAATTAAGGTTTAACTGGGTAACCGGTATTTAATCTGGAAACCCTCTTCTTGAGCAAAGGTTTCCCTCTGGGCACTTGGAGAATGCCTGAGACCGGAACTTGTGGTTGTGCCATTTCGTAGGCACAGGGATGCCGAATAGCAGGAGCCTCCGGATTTGTCAGGCAGTGAGAGGCTTATTGGAATTCACACAATTCGTATTTCTTTAGGTGTTGTACAGTTCTTTCAGGTTTTATTTATATCTTAAGATCAAATTCATGGAAACACATATTGGGATGCAGGGGTAGAATGTGGAAGGCAGGAAGAGAATGAAGAAAACTCGACCAAAGAGCAGGACAGAGGCCACCGCCAGAGTGGGATCACTAGGTCTTTAACATAACCATAGTGCATTGTCTTTTGAAAAATTTTTTTTTAGAATGAGCTATATAGTTCTCCATGCATTCCCCAAACATAAAAAAATCCCAGGGTTAATTTCAATACAGTAAAGATGACATTTTTTTTTCCTCTCTTTTGGGTGAAAAGACAATATAACAAGGTTGGGCAAATCACAGTACTTGTTTTGGGTATAGTTTGTACAAAATGCCACCAGTCCATTCTTCTACTGCATGTCTGCTCCTACACAATAGGGGGAAATTGGATGGCTGTCACAGGGAGGCTTTGGCCCATAAATTCCAAAATATTTACCATCTAGCCTTTCATGGACAGAGTTGGCAAGCTCTGTTAAAAAAGTGATTTTAGCACCACCCATAATTTCATCATTTAATCCTTACTTAATTTTAGTTGCAACGGTTTTTCATTTTTGCTTTTCTTTCTTCTGACCCCTCTACTTATGGCAGTGGACACTTTTCACAATGATTTTAGAAATCTTTGATGGTTACATAGTTATATAATGTCTTGCCATAATAAATAATGTCTACATAACAATTTTTAAGCATTAACATCAGTTGTTGATTTTTACCCCACTAAGATATTTTTATTGTTTTGATTATATATTAGTGTACCTGTTAGATTATTTTCTGAAAATAGGTTTCTAGGCATGAATCATCAGGTTTAAAAATGAGAGGCCAAGGGGTTATTGCCCGTATAGAACTTGCATACTAAGATTTTTGTCTTCTGTCTAAAAGAATTATACTAGTTTATATCAGGAACAGTGCATAAGTTTTACAATTTGTACCAAAATCTGCTATTTGAGTTTAGAAATGAGTAGCTTTATCTATCAGGATGCAATAATATTTTATAAAATAAGAGCAAGGAATTATCTTCATTTGCAATTTTATTTACTTATTTATTTGTTGTATTTGTGATGGGGTCTCATTGTGTAGCCTTGACTAGCCTCAAACCTACTATGTAGAGACCTCAAACTCACAGAGACCCCCCTGCCTCTGACTACCGAGTGCTGGGATTGAAGGTGTGTGCACCATTACCCCCAGCTTCTTTGTGGTGTTCTTTACAAACAAACAAACAAACATATATATGCACACTACATTGCTCTAAAATACAGATTTTAAGATTGTATATTAAAATTTCTACCTATAAGTTCATTTGTTTAGGTTTGAAAATTTTTAAAGACATGGAAACATTTTTGTGGACCCCTTAAAAGTATTATGGGCCCTAGGCACTGTGCCCATGGATAAATAGGTTTGCAGGTTTGCCATTATTGTGGATTTTTACACTAATAACAAGATTTTTTTTAACTTATAATGGGAAAGAAAGCTTTGACTCTAAGAGGCATATTACAGAAACTGAATTGTTAAAAGTTCAACTTGTAATATTAATAGAAATTAGCAACCTGTTTTAGATTTTATTCTAGAAACTAATTCAGTCATAGACTTATATGTTACTTAAAGTTGAATTAAAATTGATTGCAGTGTACTGCTATGTGAAAGATGAATTAATCTCTCTGTCTCTCTGTCTCTCTCTCTCTCTGTCTCTCTCTCTCTCTCTCTGTCTCTCTCTCTCTCCTTTCAC